AGGATTGGGAAAGTTCCCAGATTAAGCTAGAAAGTCATCAAGTTGGCAACACTGCGCGTGCTGGAGAGATGAAAGAGCCGCGGGTTGCCGACCCCTGTTCCATACCAGCTCACCAAGGGCCTCCCTGTTGAGGTCATGGATTTTCTTGAAATAAATCATGCAACAACTTCTACCTGCACCATGGAATCTTGCAAAATCCCACAGCTCTACTCCAAATACTTTTTGAGTTATGAATTTTTGAAAATAGGCCCTCAGTGTTAAATTTTATAACTTCAGCAATTCTTTTAAAGCTTCACCAATTGCTTACTTTTCACAGGATTTGGTTGATTTTTGTTACTGAATACTGCAGAAACCTCAAGAAAAAGTTGGAACTTGTAGTCATGTCAATAGGTCATGCTGATTTTTAAAAGAAATTAAAATAATGAAAATCTAGTTTGTCATCAAAGTTAAAAATTAATTTTCAAACCTTAATATTTCCCCTAGTGTTCAATCAAATCCAACCGAGTTCTTCTTGTGGGTAGAAACAACTTAGTTTTGTCATATCAAAATGTCATTTGGTGCTGCATGCCACAGGTCTTCCTAAAAGTTAGCTTCGGAGCTGGAAAATCCACTTTTTAGTACATTTTAACATTATTTCTTTTCAGGACGGAAGATCTTCATATCCATTGAAAACATTCAAAAATTAAAAATGTTAAGTGTTAAAAAAAGTCTCAAGGGATGCAAAAATTCGTCTTATCCAATTCAAAATTATACATCGTTTTTATTGGACTCCTTCCAGATTATTTAGATTAGGGCTATTACCCACATCAGAGTGTTGCCGATGCAAATCTGAGGAAGGTAATTTAGTTCATGTTTTATGGTCGTGTGATAAAGTCCAGCAATACTGGACCAATATTTATGATAATTTGTGTGAGATCACAGAGATACAAATGCCATTTAGCCTTAGATTATTTATTCTGGCTGACGATTCGGTTCTGGTAGGAGAGGATAAACATACTAAAAGCTATGTCCAGACCAGTATTATGATTGGTAGGTAAATACTTGTTAGAAGACGGAGGAGGTACCTTCTCTCCAAGAGTGGCCTGTGGAGATGGCACGAGTCGCAGCATTTGAAAAAATGTCATATAAACAACTGGGTAGATTGGACCTATATGAAGCAAAGTGGGGCAAATATGTAAAGTTCTTAAAGGGTTCCTTATATGGTTACATGGTGGAGAGAAGTAAGCTGTCATTTTTGTGAGAAAATACAGAACAGTGCTTCTTATTTGTTTGCATTTTACTCAGCTATTATTGCCTTTATTTCTGTTACTGTTACCGTTGTATTGTTGAAATGAAACAATGAAAATAAATCACAAAAATTTTTTTTAAATGTTATCAGTCCTTCCTCTGGGTTTATGAAATACCTGTAGCATTTAACAGCAACAGGATCTATATGAAGCATGTACGAGAACAAAAACGCCATCAATTATTACTTTGCTTGATAAATCATCCTCGGCATGGAGACAGGATTGATTGGGATGCAACGGCAAGTCACACTGTGTGCTTCTCTTCACGTCAGACAGGTGAGCTGCCGCACAGAGTCACAGTTTATACGCTCTGGTCAAATCATTTGTTACACAGCAGCCGTCCTCGGGTTGAGTCCTGAGCTCCATCACAGCTGTTGGGACGGATTTCTCTGTGGCAGGAAATCTTAAATTTGCCATCACTTTGATAGGTTGTCCAAGCTTGCATGTATGTTGTGTGCGTACTTTGCCTCTCCTGGTTACTGTAGTGTCTGAATGAAGCTGTGAGGAACATTGAAATAAATGTATTTGAATGCTGACGTCATGCAGCTTCCTCGTGATGACAACAATTGTCGTGTCATTATCAGAACCAACAGGAAGTCTTGTAAAGCTCATGATTACCCTCATCTGCAAATTATTTTCATGATCCATTGATTAGTTGTTTGAGCTATAAAACTTCCCACAACAGTTCTCTAAAGCCCAACCTGGCATCTTCAAACGTCTGTTCATTCAAATATCAGTCCAAAACCAAAAGACATTCAGCTCACATACGGTTCAGAAAAGGAGCAATTACACTTGAGGAGCTTCGACTAGATGTTTTGTAGTTTTGCTTATTAAATTACTAAAAATGAATAATTGAATATGAAAGTAGTTGCCAAGTACATTTCTGTCAGCTCATCATAATAAGTTATAATCCCATGTAAGTACTAAAGTTCAGCATTCATTTGTGGAGAGTCCATATTTAGTATGCATTTACGTACATGAGTGTCTCGGATTTGTGTTTCTGAGGTTTTCTGTTGAGGCCCACGGGCTATGTTGTTTCTGATATGAGATCCCGCACGAAAAAGGAACAGCAGTGATCTCAGACGAGCTTAGCTGGTGTTAGACTCCGTAGCTGAGAGGGGGGAAAGCTGTTGATGCAAATGCTTGGAAGATTGTGGTGCTAATACTCAAGGCTAGGCTTAAAACGTCTATTGCTGCCTTGAAAGGCTGCATCCGGAGGAAAGAAAAGCCCTGGGAGAACAAGCTCAGAAGCTGTGCTCAGCATTTGCTTATTGTCATAAGCAGCATAAATGTGAAGTTGGTAACTTGTAGACTGTGATACCTGACTTTGAACAATGCAGAGACTGTAGCCCTGAAGATTGAAAAGCGTCACAGAAATGTCTCGTCGGTCACTGCGGGTAAAATACCAGAATATTCCAGGAGGCCGTACAATTTTCATCTAATTTAGATATTGATTGAGAGTCTGTGTTTTTCTAAAGGAGCCTCTTGTAGTATTCAAGCTGTGTTTATTACCTTCCAGCAGCCTTGCAGTTGTTTCTTACTTTCTGAGCTGCTCATACCTGGACTGGGTCAGGGCGATGCGTTCACTGCTCACTTGTTTTCTGGCACAAGGTCTTTACATTTTTAAAGCTGAGTGTTGAAGGTTATATTTCCTTCCTCTGTTTCTGATGTGGACCTCAGAATGCCCCGAACAACACAACCTTTAAGATGCACACATAAATGTCTGATGTGCAAAATTCAAATTATTTGATATGGGGGTGGCCACCCTTATTTTTCTTTTTCCAACCTCTCCTATATGAGATAGCTTCTGTTTTATGTCATCAGAAGATAATTCTCTTTTGGTTTTGAACCGTTGTTTGGACTGAACAGCCACTTTAGGATGCCTCTTTGTGCTTTAAAAATGCCGGCGCAGTGCTTTAATCGCTGGATACATCAATAATGAGGATAATTGTTCGCTGCAGTTCTACACCTAAGCTATTAGGAGACTTTAAATCCATCATAACCAGTTCAGCTGTCACATAATGAACATTGGATCGATAACTGGTGAGTTTAAAAATGTGTGGATGAGACTAAAATCGTTAGAGGAATGTTCACAGTGGCGATGCGGTTCGATCCAGGCTGTTAGGTTACAATCACACCCAGTGTTAGGATTTTAATAACACCGAATAGAACCTTAAGCTAAGATAAAGGTGGGAAATAAGAGTGTGTGTGTCACGGGAGGTGATTCAACAGAAAATGTTAATTTCCATTACGAACACACCGTGTACAGAGCGGTGTCAGGAGGTGTGCTGTATTTCAGGCTGGTATTTCCCAGGTAACGGCGTCCTCTGACACCTGGGAGCAGCAGGAAGGCGAGAAGCAGCTCAGCGCCGGCTCCTGATGCTATTAATGAACCGAGGCGTCAAGCGAATCCTCGCTGAGCGGAGATGTATTTACTGAAGCTGTCGGCGGCAGAGAGAGATGGAGACCAAACCACCGGTGTATTACAACATAGGCTGTCTGGCACCTGTTTTAATTGACAGAAGTTTTTTTTTCTTTTTTTAGGTTACACATTTGTAAGGAGAGTGTTAGTATGTGCATTAGTTCAGAAATGGTCTATTATTGTGAAATCACATGACATGAAGCAGTTTCTAATGAGTCTGATGCTTGCAAAATGTTAAAAGTGCAAAATTTGGATGACTTGCTTTTCATATTTCCTTGAAAAAGATAAATGCACTTCTTTTTTTTACAACAATTGTAGTTTTTGTTTGTACTTTGATGAGTTTTTAATACTTGATATATTCTTATCTTCTACAGACAGTGATGGGGGATCGTCTCCTCGACTCAAACAGAGCGTTGATGGTAGGAATCACTTCTTTCTTCAACTTTGCTCTCTAAAACAGCGACTCTCTTGCTTTGTTCTCTCAGAGTAACTTCTCACATGAGCCAGTGCTTTCTTGCTCTTTGTGCTCATTGATTCGTATGGAGCTCAGCTGCTGTCAGTGATTCTCTTGCTTTCTTACCTGAATGTAAGTTTTCAGATGCCGGGGAACACCACATGAGGCAGGGCGTTCTCACTCTTGATGGTTATTGATTAATATTGCATTTGGCTGCTTTCTTGTTGTCAGTGAATCACTTGCTTTTGTGTTACTTTCTGAAACACAGGGGAGCACATGAGTCGATGCCTACCTGCTGCTTTTGCCTGTTTATTCATATTGCCTTTGGTTGTTGTCTTTAGTCTCACTTTCACAGAAGCCTCTTGTTTTCTGGAAGCAGATGCTCTGCAGCTGTGGTGTGTGTTTTCAAGCTTTGGATGATGATCACCTGGAATTTAGTGATTTAAAAAATAAATCTTTTAAGTCTTTGTTTTGCAAGGCATCTGATGGCTGTAATGAGCTCAAGGAGAAAGGAAAAGCTTTCGAATTAACTTTGACGTCGACTCTTTGTTACACTTTTGATGAGTGATGCTTTAATTGAAGCCGTGTTATATTCCCACGCTGTCTCAGACGTGGGTCTCCGCAGAATGAGTAGGAGATTTGTTTGCTGCTTCAGTAGGAAGCACAGTGCTAGAAAGAAACCGCACAGATGTTTGAAGCAACCATGCTCGTGGTCACTGCTGCTCACTCTTTTATTCAAGTCATTGTGTCTGCAGTGCTTCTCAGCGTCCTCACAACAACAGAAAGTCATGGTGTGCCGTGAAACTCTTCATAATAAGCAAATTCTTGAAATTCAAAAGCACAGACAGACGTACAATACATGAAATGAACCCTTATGTGTCAGTCGTTTTAGTCCCAGACGTTCTCCTTGGGTTCTACCTCTCGAAGAACATGGCCAGCACGTGTTCGTCTATGCTGCTCCTCCCAGTCACGGGTCTGAAGAAGAGTCCCGCCACCGCCTCCCTGTCCATGGAGCGCAGGGTGTTGAGGACCACCCGCAGTTTGCCGAAGCGGCCCGCGTTGCCCCGGTACACCGTCCTCACGTGCTCGTAAAGTGCACGCTCAGCCTCCCTCTGAAGTGCCTGGATGTAGTCTCGACACTCCAACTCGGTGGCTTCTAGCAGGCGGGCACACAGGGAGAGAGGAACGGAGTCAGGTGTGATTACACGGCACTATAATGTACCAACTATGCTGTACTGTACTATATATTGCACATTCTACTGTACTGGACCATGCTATGCTCATCCACAGTTTGCACATTGATTTTTGGGAATAAGTCAAAATTTACAGCTGTATTAATGTTCATGTTGAGACACTTCAGCCATTCATATTATACAGTGGGTGTAGAAAATCCATAAAGTGAGATATAGACATAAATCCAGTCAGTGCAGTGAGCTTGGTCTGACTAGTGGAGAATGAAAAGGTGTCTAACAGCAGAACATGACAGTCATGGAGTACAAAGCAAATCAGAGAAACACTTCTAAGAGGTTTGGATCCAGACTGTCAGAATCTCAAACTTTCACCAGAGTTCTCTGCCTCTTCTTACCCGAGGTGAACAGTATGGCTCCTTTGAGAAAGGCGTACTCTTTAACGCTGATCCTCAGCCCCCTGCACTTCACCAGAAACATCTTGATGCCCTCCACGTCACCCACGGGCACCCCGGGGTCTTGAATCTCGGCGGCGCTGCGCTGCTGTCGCTCCTTGTCGTGCGTCAGAATTCTGTGCAGCAGACTTGGCTGCTGCGTCTCCACCGTGTCGAAGTCCACGGAGTCCTGCACCAAGCCCAAAACCAGCAGCGGCGCCCAGCTGTTGCGCACGAGCCGGAGCTGGTCCTCCGCCGGCAGACCCCGAAAACACGGCACGTTTTTCACGAAGCGGAAAGTTTTTACGAGCACCTCGGAGGCCGCTTTGAAAACCAGCTGGGGAGCGCGAATGGCCACCAGTTTCCTCTTGGACGCGCAGGGACAGAGCTGGTGCGCGGCGGGCGTCTCCGCGCGTCCCTGCGGGCAGCGAGCGCCTCTGTTGAGGATGCTGTAGAGGATGCTGCCCTGGCCGGTGTCCTCCGTGCCTTTACACTCACAGCACGACATGACGCCTCTCAACGCGGCCGCACTGATTATGAGCTTGTTATCACGAGTATCATCTTTTTTATAGAGCAGACTTGTGGCACCAGCCCCCCCGCAGCACGCCGATTGGTATTTTCACAATAAAAGCACAACAAGTGTGGTCGTTTAAAAATGTATATACATAGCCTCTCTAACCTAAAAGTGCAATTTATCTTAATGCAGGTGAAACATTTGTGGAGAAATTCAACTGTATGATGGAAATAGCTTGTTGATCACATCTGTTTAGCTTAAATTAGGGTCATTCAATGCAAACTCACACAGAGCCTCCCAGCTGAAGTCTTGAATTTTTTGGGGGGGAATAAAATCATGCAAAAAACTGAAACCATGGAACATTATAAAATCCTACATTTTACTCCAGATACTTTTTGAGTTGTACATTTATGAAAATATGCCTTGGTGGTAATTTTTTTGCTTGTTTTTCGCAGGATTTGGCAGATTCATATACATATATTTTAATATTTTCATTTTTTTATGAATATCCCAGAAACCTCAAGAAAAAGTTGGAAGTTGTAATCGTGTCAATTGCTTATGCTGTTGTTGTTGTTGTTGTTGTTGTTGTTGTTTTAAGGAATTAAAATAATAAAAATCTAGAATTTATCATCTAAATGAAACATCTTTAATTTTCATTATTAATATCTCCCCTAACATTCACTCAATTGCAACCACATGTTTGTTGTGGGTAGAAACAACGTAGTTTTGTCAAATCAAAATGTCGTTTGCTTCTGCATCAAAAAAATGATCCAGGTCTTCCTAAATGAGGTATATAAGAGAGTGTAAGCTCAGCATTAACTGGTTTAAGGCCGAAGTGTGAGATGATGGAGCCCTTCTCTTGTGGAATAACCTTGAAAGAGGAAGATGACTGTCACAAGACAATCTACACCAATGGAAAAGTTGGATATTCAAGTTTGACTGAATTGGGATGTTTCGATAAAGAACTGTTGAAATTGTGAAGTGGATGTTCTGAATTGACTGACGATGCCTCAGTTTGTTGCTAACTTGGAGATACATTTTCACAGACAAATGATGAATTTTTCCCAGTTCAGTATTTGGTTTTCTAAGACTTTGTTAGAAAATGCAAGAAATGCACATTTAAGGAAAATAGTCAAGTAATGAAGGAGTAATATAACATCTTTAGTTTTTAGTGTGTTGTCAATGGATATGAAGACTTTCCCTTCAAAAAGTTTCAAAGAAATCAAAACAGTCCTTCCTGGGGAAAAAATGCTGTTAAAATGCCCTAAAAGTGGACTTTTTTTTTGATGCAGCACCAAATGACATTTTGATACGACAAAACTAAGTTGTTTCTACCCACAACAAACATGTGGTTGGAATTGAGTGAGGAGAAAATTTTTTGATTTGATAAATTATCAATTTTTGTTATTTCTGTAAAAAATAAAATAAAATGCATAAGCTATTGACATGACAAGTTCCAACTTTCACTTGAGGTTTCTGGGATATTCTCACAAAAATAAAATAAAAAATCTGCCAAATCCTGTGAAAAATAAGCGATCAGTGATTTTGTTTCCCATCCGCCCCCAAAAAATTCATTTTTCCAACTTAGTAAGACTTTGTAAGCTGTAATATGAGTGCAAATAATTCACATTTAAGGCAAATTAATAAGTAATGCGGTAATTCAACATCTTTACTTTTTTAAACATGTTTTCAGTGGATCTGAAGACCTTCCTTTCATAAGGTTTCAAAGAAATCAAAACAATTCTTCCTAAAATAAAAAATAAAAATACCGTTAAGATGTCTTAAAGTGGATTTTCAGCTTCAAAGCCAATTTTAGTTAATTTTTCATTGAATTTGTTTGTTTTTGTTTTTTGATGTAGCACCACATGACATTTTGATCTGACAAAACTAAGTTGATTCTACCTCCAACAAAGCTGGTTGGATTTGAGTGAATGTCAGTGAAGATATTAATTTTTGAAAATTAGAGATTTTTAGATTTTATGATAAATTATATTTTTATTTTAATTTCTGTAATTAAAAAAAACAATCAGCTTAATAATCATCCAAATTCTGTGAAAGATAAGCAATTTCTGAGGCTTTAAAGATGCTCTAAAAGATTCGCACCAAGTTATAAAGTTTAATACATGGAGCCTCTTTTCAAAAATTCATAACTCAGAGTTTTTGGAGTAGAGCTGTGGGATTTTGCAAGGTTCTGTGGTTTAGGTAGAAGCTTTTGCATGATTTATTTTCCAAGAAAATCCATGAACTCAAGTGGGAGGCCCAAGGTGAGTTGGCATGGAATGACCCTATAATGTTATAGAACACTTGGAATATTTTCTTAGTCAGCATTTAATCACGTACTCATTTCCCTGTTCTTAAATAGGGGGCCGTTGTGAGTGTTATTAGTGCATCTTTCAACAGAGTCTGGAATCTGATGTGAACTCAGAGATGGTGTAGTTTGCCATGTTTTAGTTTTTGGATTACACTGGTCGACACCCATTTTGGTGTCAGAGTTTTTTGAGCTGATTTTGGACAGTTGCATTGTGCTGAATCCAGATGTTACATTGGTTTTGCTCAATGAGGTCAAAATTTTGATTTGTCACCACATGCAATTTACTTGTATTTACCTTTAAAAATGTTTACGCTCATCAACTTTTGGATCATTTGGCTTATGAAAAGGATTAGAAAATAAAATGTTTCTACTAAAATCTAATTTAGTAGAACACAAAAACAAAAACCGTTTTTATCCCACTGCCATAACCCTACTGAACAGCTGAACCCCTCCAAGTCACAACCGCTATTTGCACTTCCATTTTGCACTAGTGTATATACACCTTTTTCTACTAGATGTGTAAATTCTTGTATATATTTGTCTTATCATCTTGTTTTATTTTTTATTAATATTTATTGTATTTTATTCTTTTCTTTCTTTAGTTATTTTACTTTATTTTATTTTTTATTTTTCTATTTTTATTAGTCGTGCAAATTCCTAGGGCGACACCAACAGCCGGAACCAAATTCCTTGTATGTTGTGTACGTACTTGGCCATTAAAGCTGATTCTGATTCTGATTTCATATGAGAAATAGTGAAATCAATTGCTAATGTCAAAAAATGTAATCGCTTTAGTGGCAAAATTGGTTTTTTTTAAAAATAGAGTTGGCATAAAAACCTGACCTGATACAGAAAAGCAGATGTCATTTTTGGATTCAGCGTCGCAAAAATGTCCTAAATCAGTTTTAAAAAATCCTTGACACCTTCAAAAAAATATTTTTTTTGTAACCCAGTGTTATAGAAGAAAACAAGTGTAGCTCACTTATTGTCTGTAGCTGAGAGGGACCAGTGAACACTATCCATCAAGATAACACATTCAATACATCCCTAAAAGCTTTCTTCTATTTTCTAGTACCTGTTGCATTTTGTGACTGAACTGGAAATTTTCTGTGTAGCAAATATGAAGCTTTAATTTTGAAAGTCAAGCCAGACAAGTTCCAGTCTGACTGCTGCTGTCTGTAGGTGGCTTGATTGGAGATTTAAATGGCTTTATAAGTAAAATCAGGTGGCCCAGACTCCAAGGGGCTCTGAGCAGGGCTTGACATGGGTGTCCTCTGCCTGACATTACAATGTGTGTTATTTGCATACGATGGATGTGTAGAAGGGCCAACACACAACACGGCTCATTGCACATTGTGTGTTTTGGGCTTGAAATCTCCTCTGCTCAGTCTCTGAGGTTTAATTTGAGGTGTTTTGAATCAGAGTGGGGCATGCTGTTTGATAGGGAACATGCTAAGTCCTGTTTGTTTATGCAAAGCAAAGGCCTGCAGAGGAGGTTTAGAGGACAGAATAGACCCCGTTAATGTGAGAGGTGTTTTAATTATTCAGAACCAACACACTAACTCCTGCCTCGTACCGCAGAGCGTGCAGGTGGGTGTCAGTCTTTAGCCTGTTTGCAGCTGTTTGTTGCATGTCAGATTGTGGCCTAGATTGTTTCATACATGCACACCTCTGGGTAAATTATTGGCTGCTGCCATTTTACCGAAGGCCACAGGTCTCACCCATAGAACCGCTGAACCACAAAACCACTGACACATAAAGGAAGGAAGTGTTGCCACATTCGTGTGAACTGAAGTACTCATTGTTTTTGTCAGGCTGCGTTTGATGAGTTTCGGTTTGACTCGAGCTGAAAGATCAGTGATGGTCTCATGTGTGGTTATCCTGACGTTTTCTGAAAGCCGCCATCTGTGGATGTACGAAGTTCAGCCATTAGCTTCAAGATTCTTTTTTCGGTTATCTTAGCTTGTGATTCTTGCTGCGAAAGCTTTATTCACACGGCACATTAACAGTCAGTGACACGGTTCCACATAAGGCTAATTGTCCACTTACTGTAGCGTCAGACCTCATTTCTGTTTGCTGAGGTGTCTGACCAGCCTTGGAGGGTAATACAAGACGGTTTGGACATGAGTCAAGCCGAAAGGGTTCAAACGAGGTCGAAGCTGAAGAAATGTACGATTTGTTGTTCAGTTTTTGACGGAGGCAGAATCCTCTGCTTCTCGACGCACCGTGAAGGACGCCAAAGTTTCCCGACGCCCAATCTAATCACACCTGATCAGTTGTTTTTCCGACTGAGGCGTGTAGCCATTAGAGTTTGATTCTATTTCCTCAGCCATAGGGTTTAGAGCAGCAGACTGACACAAGCATAAAAGGAAAGCCGCCCTCAGTGTGTAATTACCTGACAAGGCCAGACGTTTCTCCTTGTGCGGGAATCTGTTTCTATAGTAACAAAATGAAGCAGAAAACATACGTCTGAATTCAAACCAAGAACAAACCATGATGATTATACAAAGATCATTGGGGGATGTAAGTGGGATGAATATTATGCAGAATTCTGAAGGACTCAAACGCTTTTCATCAAAGTCGCTGCTAATGATCCTTTTCTGTATTTCTCAGGGTTGTTTATGAAGAGTTTCATTCATCATCAGGGCCTTTCACACCTTTCGCCATTGCACTTAAACAAGCT